TGTGTACTTTTTGGAAGTGAGTGTTAAGTTAAAAATGAAAATTTTGTGTATTGTACAAACCTATTTAAAGTCATCAGAGTAATATTATGCTACTGTCCACCAATCAAGATGCTAGATTTGACTGTTGAAGGTTTTGGATCAAATTAATATAATAATATAAATTATGTATGTCAATATCAACATAATATTACGCCTTTCTTCCCCGAAGGCGTAGGAAGAGGTGCACATTATGGCACTTAAATGTGTGTGTCAGTTTTGTAAAAGTAACTAAACTTTTTTAATTGTAATGAGATCAAATAATTTAATTTCTCTAATTATCTGTGGAAAATGAATCAATAATATACTTTCAAACATCGAAACGATAGCCACAGCTTTATTGTATCGACCTAATCCCACTTCTTACGAGAAAATCTTTGAAAAGTAGACAGAGCTAAAGTTCCCTAGGATTCCTCGGATTAAGATCTAAGCCTTCTAGGAGAATGACCTTTTTGTTAAAAGATTGTACATATTGGTAACTTAATATAAAATATGAAATAAAATAATATTCAGTAGATATAACTTATGTATATTGTAAGATTTTCTATAAAGAACAACAATTTTTATAATGTTTTCATAATAACTACCATGAGACTTATAGGATTAACTAAAAACTGAGTTATTCACGTAAATATACTGAGAAAAGTTCTATCGACGTTGCCAAGACCCCGCATGCTACTCATTAGGAAGAGTCCTTCTGTGACTCGAAACTAGTAGAGCTTTTCTCGGTGTATATACGTGAGTAACACGTTATTTTCAGTTAATTCATAACATAACATAACATAACATCCCTATTAATGTTATGAGTCCCATGTAATAGGACGTGATCCTATTGCCATATACCGGGCACAATTCCAGTCTCCGTGCCAACACTGAGAATAAAAAAAAACCAGTAATACTTTGCCCGACCCGGGAATCGAACTTCGACCACTCGGCCAACTAGGCAGTCAGTTAATTCAGTTCTAATTATAATTGAATTACGAATCTATTATCGTTTTTCTTAAGCACATCAAAAGTATTCTTGGAATAAACAACTTATGAATTCAAAAAACTTACTTGTACCTACTTGTAAACTAGATGAGGCCAGTGTTTGTAATTAATTAATCTAGCAGGCATCCTTCGAAAAAATAACTATACAATTAAAAATTTTAACTCCTTAATTTAGGTACCCACTTCGTTCTAATGATGAAAATACAGTTAGAGAAAAATGAAAAGCCTGACTCAAAATATTTACTTTTAGCTTATAATATTATTATTTCGAATCCTTTAGTTACACAATGCTAGGCAGTTTGTAAACAGAGTTTAGTGGTTTATTATAGTAACTGTGGGCAGAACAATAATCCATTAGTGTCACCGCAATAACCAATGGTATGCAGTCACTGACAGGTCGCTAATGTACCCGCTATTATGTAAGCTTAGGACCGATCCTGTAATTAATTTTCTATTTACAAAAATGTATTAATTTCATTAGACTGACATTGTAATTAGTTGATTTTTTTATGAATGTTAGAAAGTAGACGCTAGATTGTGAGTGGAGGTAAGCTGAACGCTTCCAAAAAACGAAGACATTTGATAGTAAAAATCGAGGTTTATCAATACATAGTATAAAACAAAGTCGCTTTCGCTGTATGTCCGTATGTATGCTTAGATCTTTAAAACTATGCAACGGATTTTGATGCGGTTTTTTTTAATAGATAGAGTGATTCTTAAGGAAGGTTTATATCATGCATATTGCACCCGTGCGAAGCCGGGGCGGGTCGCTAGTCCTGTATAAAAAACAAATAAAAAATACATTTTGATATTGCATTCATATCGATAATGTAACGTACATACCTAAAAACCTTTATCTAACGAAGATTTAGAAAAGACCTAGTAATTTTCCCATCCATTCAATGAACAAGTTCAGAATCGTTTCGCTCCCAAAAAAGTATTCTCACAAAATCCGGCAGTTCTTCAAATTGCTTGTCAAACCATCCCGCTTTACGACACTGTCTACACATAAGCCCTACAAGGCTACACAGGCTATATAAAGGCTATATGGGAGATTTCTTTAACGTCCTGAATATAGCCTCAAACGTTCACTGAGAATACCTATTCACGTGACTCAACGTGTTATTTATACAGGCCGTTTTATTAAACTTATAAATAGTTGGGGTGTTTTTTATTGTGTCGAAAATGGAGTTAGGAATAGACTTTGTTTGGACGGGTTTCTATTTCTGGCGAAGCTATGTATGTAAACAAAATACAAACATCACAAAGGCCAGCAATGCAATTGTAACTCCTCTGGTGTTGCGGGTATGAATAAACCACGTGGAGGTTTCTCAATCTCATAAAAATATCTTTCATATATGTACTTACTTTATTTATAATCTGTGAGTAGTAAAATTGACGTGTGGAATAACATATTGTGCAAATAACAAACATTGAATGAGTAACAGAACAATAAAAAGCAGTAAACAAAAACAATGTTGTTACAAATATTAATGAAAGTACTGAAGCGCTAAGAACCTCTCACATAGCTAAAGAGATTCATTTCACCGAAACTGAAAATTAATGCTGAAACAGGGATGCCGCGCTTGCAGGTTTAGTTCAAACTAGAAAATTGCCAGAGGGTGGAAACTTGGCTCAACAATTAACTGCAGTGTTTAATGTAACGTAATGGACATTTATATTCAGCTTCTCGTGTTTAAAATATAATAAACAAATTATAAAATCTATTCTCAAGATATATCCAGATAAAAATACCTACACACCGGTTATCAGTTGTTTTGATATTACTTCCAATGTGAGTGGATCTAAGTATTTTTCATCATCATTCTGGTCTAATGGTGATGATACCAAAATTTTGAGTTTCATTTAGGTATTACTCAATATTCATTAATACTAAACGTTTTCCTATACTTAAATCAAGGGCTAAATCAAATAGAAAACAGCCACGCACAATAGTTTTAGTAGATTTCAGTAACATTACACTGTTTGTCTTAATATGTCTGTGTATAACTCCATAGCAGAGCTGCAATGTTCGGCTACATCGACAAATCATGTTCTCCTATTGTTTCGATACAGTACAGCCATGCGATATTATGGCAAATTTGTAAGCTAATGGAACATGGTCAATTATTATAGTTAGGACGAGGATACACCCGCCTGCAGGCTCAGCGTGAGGAAACAATCCGCTTTTGTATACATGCTTTACTGTCCTGCTTGTGTCTATTACATTGTGTACAATGCTTGTTGTGTACCGCGCTTATAGTTGTATGTCGGGTGGAGTACCTATCTGTATCATATGTTATACTCTCATTATTATAACTTGTTGGATCGTATAAAGTGTTATGATTTTTCTTTTTTTTTATTAAAGGACTGATATTATTAAATGGCTGATATAAAATGTATTTGAAATGTATTAATGATGGTTAATCTGATTATATTTTAACCACTATGATTCATTTTTTCATCCAATTAAAAGAATTAAACTATCCATTTGGGGTGATAAGACAACTTTGACAAATCAAAAATAGCTTCTTCTATCCTGACATTCTGCAGATACATAATATTATAAGCAATGTAACAGCCCAACTGCCTGTCTGTCAGAATGTCAGTCAAAAATAGGCCACAAAAATTCAATTTAGAGGTTTAAAATTTTATTTACTACTTTGATATAGCATATACACTAAACCTTGGTTCCGGACATCACACAGTACCCAGTATGCAATGCAAAAGATGTCTAAGACGAGATGCACCCTGAAGGCAGGACGCGAGGAAACAATTAGCTCCATTGTGCATGAGCCTCTATCATAGGAGTGACGTAACTTTGTGTACCAGTGTGTCACAGCTTTATGCTACGAGTATTTGTCTTACAGTAGTTTTGCGAGTGCAAGCTGGTTGCAAAACTTGCTTGGAATATCTGTGTTATTCTAGAGGTATTTTTATTTTTATGCTGACAAACTTTAGAGATATTATTGTCAAAGCCAAAGCATTTATTTCAATTAAACCATAATTTGGTACTTTTGAAACATCAACCGATATAAAATAAATAATAGTCTGTCAGTAAGTCCGTCAGAGAAGCTAGGTGAAGCTAGGTATATACGTCACAAAATGATGTTTATAATCGTTTGAAAGAGAAATATATACCATATTTTACTTATTAAATTCTAATAATTGAATATGATGAACTACATACTGTAATTGCGTAGAGGAAGAGACCCTCTCTGACTCGAAACTAGTAGAATTTTTCTCAGTAAGTAGGTACATTTACGTGAACTTGTATTTTCAGTTAAGTTTTATAAATAATTTTAAGCTGTTGATTGTTATCAAAAATAAATGTTATAGTATAGTTAATAAACTATTATAAAATTGCACAAATTATTTATGTACTCAAAACTTTTTCATAAAACCATTCAATTATTTTTATTTTATATTATATTTTATATTACATATATATATATTTAATTATTTACATATTATATTTATGTTTCATATTAGTATGTAGTATTGGTATGTAGTTTATGTACTAGGATACCTTTATACATATGTACGTACATTTATCACCCTCGTTTTTAATTTTTTTTCGATAGATGCAAACTTCTTTTAAAACCTACTGTAACACTTCTCTGCATCACCCTATGGTTGGCTGGTAGAGAATGCCATTCGGCATTAAGTCCGCCATTGTATAGAGTTGTACATAAAGTGTTAAATAAATAAAAAATAAAAAACCTTTCATTTAATGAAAATAAACTATAGTAACACAATTATGTGTGAACTCTTTTGTTCGTTTACTTTCAATTGTCCACCAAGTTTTATTTATACGTTAGTTAACCTTATACTCTATTTTATAACTAATAGAGAGCTTTTTACATTATTAATAATTTAATGTGATTTTAATATAATTCGTATTTTTGTTAGTCAAAAACAGTGTGAATATTATATGAGATTATATAATCAATTTATTATTTCTATTGTTACAGACTAAACTACAAACTCTGTGGTTTCTCACCATGGTGGTGGCATGTGTGTAACGTTGCGTTGCACGCTGCATGTTGCGCGCTCGTCGCGCGTACCGGTGCTGTAGTTGCACGATTGCAGCGTCCGTTCGCCGCACTCGCTGCGCTGCTGTTCGCCGTACATCCTGTACATACAGAAGCTGTAAGTTTTAGCACTGTATAAATAAGACTATACTAACTATGTACCATAAACAAATACCGCAAGATTTTCAATCAAAATTATCACAAATTAAATCTAAAGAAACGAAAATAAAACTACCAGTTTACAGTAGAATGTGAGAAACTAAAGTAAAATAATAGTAGACTGTTACCTAAAGCATAAGAATCCTTTGCAAGTTAATTAAATTTAGTTTTATACGGCATGCATACGAGTAGTTCGTTGAGGCTATGAATAAGAATGAGGCGCTTTGAAATACCACATCCATTTCAAACAGTTTCGCTCAGCACTGGAACCTGTCAGCACGGGAGACTTATTTATTTATGGAGACTTCGAATACATGTAAACTATTGAAATATTTGCATTATTATTTAATTTCATTATGAAATATTACGACAGATTTTAAAATGTAGACAAGATGAAGATGGACCTCAGGTACGCGCATGTGTTAATTTTATCAGATAACTTGTTTGTTTTGTGTATATTTTGACAGAACATCGAGTATAAAAATAACAGCTCGCATCTGGTAAAGTCTCTGAATACGCTGACACGTGTAATAATTTACTTTTATGTTTTCCTTGACGACCTACGTCGCGTGCCTACTAAGCAGGTTTCCACAAAAACAGATTGAAAGAAAGTAAAACATAAACTATTTCCACTAATAGATACATTATGCCACAAACCTCTTACGTATTACCGAGGTCCTAATGGACGTTCTAAGAAAAACTATTTACTGCCAGTTTCTACGAGAATTGCCCTTAAAATGTCTAAAAGCACTATCTTGTCAGTTCGCAATTCGATTTGAAGCAGACTGCGAACGCAACTTTGGCTACAGCAAATCATTTGTGTGTACGGAGAGCTGTAGTTTTATTGCCAGCAGTACTGAATATTTTATTCTGTAATCTTAGTCAGGTATTAGAAGAATGTACCGGCAAAAGGTCGCCTTTATTTTTGTTTTATTTTTTTCTCAGAATTTTATTAGTTAGTCGTCGTATTGCTCGCAGCATTTCGAAATAATTCAATGTCAATTTGAGACCGAGTCACTTTCACGAAATCCTGTAGACCGACTTTTAAGTAATTGTCGTAAGCCTGGATAGTACTGCGCTATCTACTAAAAGCTGGCTGAAGAACATTGAACTCACTTAAAACCCAAGGACAAACAAATTGGTTTTGCTCGCAGTCTTATGAATAACTGAATCACGGCGTAAAAGTACGATATTTTTACATGTTGGTCTTCCATTACTCTTCAAGAACGAGACGATTCTCGACGGGCCAGCGACAAGCGTATGAATAATTCAATGTATATTATGCGATGCGACAGTAATAAATACATGGCTTGCTACAAACCATATTTTTCTTTGATTTGCTGTTGGTTTACTTACCTGTGAGTAGACATAGGGATGTGTATTTAACATTATACAGGGAGAATCTGCTGTAATCAAACCATTACCGTTTTGGTTACTGACAATTATTTTTATATTAATTTTACCGAGTTCATAATTCTTTATGATCTATTTTTTCAAAACCTACCTACATTTCCATTCCCAGATTACGAGGAAATGGTTTATAATTAAAGTAAGTATATGAAATGTTTCTGTCTGGGTTCGAATGTGCTTTCTTACCTAGTATTATAATAGCACATAGCTTCGTATCTGTTCATCCATAACATTTATTGAACGCGATACCTTATTTATGAGATGTGCTGTGAATATTCGCAAAGCAAAGACTTGGCAAACGTGACTATAACACTGCGGACCACTAAATAACTTATACAAAAGGTTGACATGGAGAAACAAAAGTACACAATTCGAATTCACAGAATGTGTTTTACAGAATTTGTAGTATTAAGGTTATTTTTCTGTTGTCACAGAAGCTGTTGATGTGAAAGTGATATATTATATTTTATATCATCGTTATGTTGCTTCTCTACTAATCTCGCCTTTCACGAAATGACAAATGACAACGTCCATCAGTAACTGACCCAAAAACTTACATTTTCCCGTGAAAACTGCATTTCGAACCTTTTTCTGACAGAGATAAATGGCCTTAGGTTTAATGTGGCACTTCTGCAGCTATCTGCGTTGTGTAACTAATGTTCAGTTCACAAGTAGGTACAGTCGCGAGTGTCGCGGCTTTTCGGCTTTTACGAGTGATTCTATGTGCGTGAGGTCTTAAAGGTAGCGGTTTAAAGCGAAGCCTGTTATAAAAATGTGAGCATAATGCTACATAGGGTGAGTTTTCAGTACATTATACAATTTTGTTGATGTTTGTACGTGGTTTGGAATAATCATTGCTTGTTACATATTTTTGGTCCTTGTTGGCGCAAATACATACTTTGGGACCACTTTATACAAAGTATATTAGAACCTGACACAAATGAAAACTCATAAATCTTCAAAATAAAATCCACAACTTTATAAAAGTCCTTTCGTAAACCCATAGAAAGTTATGCAATCCGTTGCCCATTCGAAAATATCTCGTAAAACATTGTGACTATCCCAAACACTCAATAAAATCTACCTTTACCTTAGAGGGGACGAAAATATTTGCTAAAACATTCGTGGCATCTAAAAATAATCCTCTTTTGGCCACAACAGAGGGACGGGTTATAATGACTGGCTGGAAGTCCACCCTGCCTATCGATTGGTTACACCCTCCTCGTCCTATTGACATAAGCTGACAGTTTCACGATATCGACATGGAATTATGGTTGGAAATAAAATATGAATTGCGGTTAGTAAGTGATTATAGGTTGCCTTGTTATTAGGTACGGACGTAATACGATCGGGATTGTTTCCTTCAAGTTTAATAGGAGTACCTACTATTAGAAACTTCCTCAGACGCTACAGATTAAAAGGTAATCAAATAAATAATCAATCACATAATCATGTATTTTAATCAAGATTTAAATGTCATTTATTCTTTTATAATAACTATCGTGAGACATACTAAATTAAGTTGGAAGCAAACGCTCGTAGTGTCCGACAGAGGGCGCGTTGGGCTCGCAGCGCAGGTGGCAACACCGAGTCGAGCGCCAACGCCAGCCAGTGAGCTGCGCGACGTCGCCGCGACCGCGCACGCTGCTCATGAGGAAGAACCCCTCTGTGGTTCGAAACTAGTAGAGCTTTTCTCAGTATATTCACGTGAGTAACCCGCGTTTTTACTTAAGTCATTTATTCTCCTTTGTTGAAAACAAAATCAATAAATTATAATAGGAAATCCCGAAAAAGCATCACCAAAAACCAATCAAAAAAAACCACAAAAATATTGTCACCGAAACACTCACAATGAACCACAAAATCCACAAAAAATGTGTGTACAAAGGTGTTTTAAACCGAGAACATTACAGCCGATACCGGCGCAATACACGATGTCAGCTCGCAAGACAATAAAACACATTTATAGATTTCTATCGGGACAGAACGAGCAATAAAACCGCCATATTGGATCGTACAGAGGTATTTAAGGTATGTTACGTGTAGCCAGAAAGTTATACGACATTTAGTTATCGAGTGCCGCTGTTAGGTAAAAAGTAACGTCACCATATTACGATTTATCGGTTCTTTAGTGTGTTTGTAGTTTATTTTCGTACAAAAATATGATTTGGTATTGACAAATATATTCGGATGTAGAAAGATTTTATATGATTCTATATGTAGTTTGTTGTTCAGTCAGAATAATTGACAAACTCGGTTCATCAGCTGTATGTATGCACCTGATAAAAGGATGATAGATTTGAAGACAAAACGTCTAATAGCTTACAATTTTCTTGCCTTACTCTAAAACTATCACTAGTTCTTGTGATGCAATAGCAGCCTGGCATAATAAGTGTTCATTGTAGGAAATGCAGTAATGTCTTGCAACAAAGTTTCTGAAACAAATCACATGAAGCATGCTTGCTTGGGTCTGAGACTGCAATTTGTGAGACTAGTACTCGAGTGCTGCCACTGTAATTTAAACGAATTATTATTAGACCTAAACTGAGCTAGATGGTGCCACTTATATCAACTTTAATGTATGTTTTTTCAAGAAAATGAACTCTTTTTGTACTTCCCATTAAACCACAGCTGCACTACCTGATGATATACACAAGTATTGCTTATTGTCCACGTAAACTGCATTTCATGCACATGTTTTCGTTAATTAACGATTGCAAAACGATTGCTTACATCGTATGGCCCATGGGTTTCAGTATGTTTAAAGATTGTGAGTGTGCCTCGGGCTCAAGAAGGCCCTCAATAATATTCCACTGTCACAATCTATTAGCGTAACTGCAGTTGACATTCCTGATAAGTCAATCAAGAAAACAAAGAATTCATACATTATTTTTACCGTGTTATCCTCTAACATTACTTTTTCTTATCCACCCCATCAATATAAGTCCAAAGTACATGTACCTATTCTATCTCCGTTTGCCTAACCGGGTATCGTGTAGGCGACACCAACTGAACTGAATCGTAAACGATTTGCGTCCGATCTAGGTCCCGTCTGTCTGGCCCGGACAACCGGACAATATGTCCACTTGGATGATGTAGACTTTATTTGTTCAGTCTTCATGAGCAATAAGTATCAGTATGAATAAGAATGGAGAATGTACGAGAAAAATATCTTCATTCCCTTTGTTAGTCGGTTTATTCATATTTTATTTGTTATCCATAGTGCTTTGTGTCTTTGTGTTCGGGTTCGACTGGGAATCTCGTATGTTGTTGTAAGTTTCAAGAAAGGTACTTGTTCCACGTAAGATGCGGGCAGTTATTTTACGAATCTGTCTAAGATTATTTCTGAACTAGGTTTTTTTTTATATACTTGATGGGCCGACGTAGATATATTATTTAAAGAAGTTTAAATCATAATAATTGTGGAGTATATGAAATATGACAATGCAGTTATCAAGCTTGAAAATGATAACAATATGATTGTGCTATTACTAATTCTTCCATATTATTGCAATAAATATCTAATTAGATCTACGGTAATTAAATTTA